TTTTGTTGCCTGCACGTTTTACTGACCAAAAACAATGTTACGCTAGAGTACACAGACATTCGTCAAGCACTAGGACCAAGCGGAAAACAGCACTGTAATATATGTACTGTATAAATTAGTTTTGTACAAAAAGGTGGGAAAGGCAATTAGGACATTGCTTATGTAGCTTTGAAACTGGAAGAAGATGGTGATCGGCACTTCCTTCATGTCGCTTCCTCAATGCTTTACTCACACAGTCACCTTAAAGGTATAGTGGAGGATTGTCTCAAATTTTTTAAAGACCCGCCCTTTCCACTTAAAAAAAAAATGCACATGCACCACCCTGTACCCGCTCCAGAGAGGGAACAACTATTAAACGCGTGCGAGAAAGTTTCTATTGGCACCGCTCATACAAGCTCCATTTTTCCACTATGTCAAACTCACCACCGGTGAGTGGAAGTAGGGGACGAGGATGTAGGACGGCCTTACGTAAACATATTAGCAGAATGATTGACAGTTAGGAGGAGTAATTATTTTGACGATCCACCCGGAAACAGAACATCCTCCTCTATACCTTTAAGTTAGATGATAAATGCCTAATTTAATGTCTTCTTTTGTCACCACAGGATTTGCAAAAGGCACGCTAAGAGAGTCTGTGTGATAACCTCTCTGATGGTGGTAACTCTTCTAATAATTCTGCTTTATCAATCTGAAAGTTTCAAGGACTCTGACCTCACACATCTTCAAGCCGATATCAGAAACTATCAACATCACCTAAAGTCCTTAGGTGGAAGTTCCCCACATGTTCACAGTTTTCAAAAATGTGAAAAAAACATGTCTGCTGAACAAGTCAAGGACTTCAACTCGTATCCTCCTATTGCCAAAGACGTTCTCTACTACCGCCACTGTCGACATTTTCCAATGCTGCTGGACATCCCAGACAAATGTGGTGGAGCTCATGGATCATCTGATGTCTTCCTTTTACTGGTCATCAAAAGTCCAGCCGTTAACTATGACCGGAGAGAGGTGTTGCGCAAGACCTGGGCGGAGGAGAGATTGTCAAATGGAAAGTGGATCCGAAGGGTCTTCATCTCAGGTACGATGAGTACCGGTCATGAAAAGAAGAGACTGAACAAGCTCCTTCAGCTGGAGAAACGCAAATACAACGATATTCTCCAATGGGATTTCAAGGATACCTTTTCCAACCTGACGTTAAAGCAAATGCTCTTTTTGGAGTGGATGGAGAGAAACTGCCCACACACTCAGTTTTTGTTTAATGGTGACGATGACGTCTTTGCCAGCACAGACAACATGGTAGTGTATCTCCAAGGCTTTAAACGTAATAGTGGGAAGAAACACCTTTTCGCTGGCCATGTCATGTATAATTTGGATCCCATTCGCGATCCACAGAGTAGATATTTTGTTCCAGAAGAGCTCTTTAGGCCCAGTGTGTACCCTCCGTACTGTAGTGGCGGTGGCTTCCTTCTGTCTGGCTACACGGCTATGGTCATATTCAACAAATCACACTCTATCCCCCTTCTTCCCATCGATGATGCTTACATGGGGATGTGCTTAGCGGAAGCAGGGCTAAGTCCAGAGCATCATATCGGGGTGAGACCTTTTGGACTGCAAGTTAAAGGCAGGAATGTTGACGAACTTGAGCCTTGCTTCTACAAAGAAATGCTTGTTGTTCACAGAATGCTCTCAGCTGACATGTATACTATGTGGCACCGAATTCAAGATCCAGATCTTAAGTGCATTTTCTCTAATACCAGTTTTTAAATCGGTAGAGGTTTTTTTTTTTTTTTCACCACAGCACTCGAGGTGCTAGAGCCGGTGTAGCTACCAGATCTGCTCAGGTCCTGCGCATGGCAGGGACGTTATGACGCTACATGATTGGCTAAATGTTGCCACATAATGTAAAGCACTGTGGTTGCCCAGACAACAATAATAACATCACGAAGCATCCGTTAGCGTGTCTTATGAAAGATGACGTTTTATCTGATCACTAACAAATCTGAAAAAATCTGTTTATGGTGAACAAAGTAACTGCAGGACCATGATATAAAGGGGGAGAGCTGGGTAGCGCTAGCTGTGCTCAGTAGCTAACAGGTTAGCCTATTTTAGCTTGGCCAGTTAGCCATATTCAGCTACATTACTTTAAACTTTGTGTTAACAACATCTACAAGTGGAATAACTGTCTTCTTTGTCTAAAATCTCCACGAAAGCCATTTTTTAAGATGTTCCATTTGTCCTCCTTTGCCCTCAAATCTTAATAAAAAGAATAAAAATAGGCTGAGATTTTTTTTTATCAGCTTGATTAATGGCCGAGCTCAGTCTTAGAAAGCAGTACTTTCCTTCAAGTCTTATTATAAAAGTTTAGCGTAACGCTCTCCGCTTATTTTCCTCAAATCCTAGCCTTCCAAGCACAGCAGAGATGTTACGCTTCTCATCCACGCAGCACGGCTAAATGGGGGCTATTTCGGAGATAACTTTAGATGTGTATCCCGTGTTTTTAGTCACAAACAGAACCACATAAGTTATTTGTGTCCTTGTGTCCAAGTTACAGTGTGAATAATCCCTGAACGGGATGAATGGACTGTGGATCAATGCATGTTTCTGCAGTGTGCCTATTTCTCTTACAAATTTACCAGTGAGGTTAAGCTTAAATGAAAAGTCTGGTCAGCAAGGAATAATCAATAGATCATTATCTATGGCTAAAACTAATACGTTTGCAGTGATTTAATGAATTTAGCATTAATCAGTAAAGAAATAAAAACAATTATTTTCGTTGCGATCACTGAGTAGCCATTTTTTTCACTATTGAAATTCACTAGAGCTATTGTTAAAATGACAATGCCCACGTGCATGGCAGCTGGATGTTGGAATACATCGGGTAAAAGTGGACGGGTTGGTCGTTGGATCGCCAACTTGAAGAGGGAGGATTTGCCATCGAACTTCTGGCCAGAGAAAAGACACGTAATATGTAGCCAACATTTGGAAGAAGAATGTTTTCAAGATGACTTGGATAATAGCGCGTTGTGACAAACACCAGATAGAGCACTGGGACTTGATCAACAGCCGATACAGCACGGCAGTGAATTATCGGTCTTGTTTACCTCGGGCGCGGTACACTACACCTTTTCCACCTAAAATGCCGTCTTAGCAACAAATGTCACGTGACTGGCGGAGACCGATTGAACAGTATGTAATCATTTCAACATTAAAGTACTTTCAGAAGTTTGAATTCTGAATATGAGCGGACTTTTGCTTCAAGGTTCACCTACCAATGGGTAGTCATAAATAGGAAACTCTGTAAACTAATTAGAACTTACGTACAAACAAAGATTCTGTTTCACCAATTCCCTAAGGAAGCACCTACAGGAAGTGAGTCTAAAAGCTGGTGCATCACATAGATAGGGTTAGGGTCTCTTGAACTCTGAACTACAAGAGCATCAAGGCTGTGCTAATTTCTGTAACTTGTTAAAATCTATTTCTATTCTCACATTATGTTTTTATGTGGATCCCTTGAAGGAATTAAAGGTCCAAAGCAGAGTTTAAGATAATTAAGGGTGTAAAAACTTTTATAACAGCTAAAAGAAAGTTTGAATATTTTCCATTTGCAGCAATGATTTTGATATTTGCCCACCAAAAGGTCCAAATTAACTTCTATCTGAAATATATAGCTCTAGACTGTTGATACAGATTTTAAAACTCTTATCTTTGTTTGTGTTTAAATGACCTTTCCCCATCTTACCTCTCTGTTCTTCTTCACCCTTACCTGCCTCCTCAGTCCTTCAGGTGAGCAGAACAGCAGCTCCTGCAGGTTTAATAGGAAGCTCCGAGGGTTGAGAGCCTTCTATATCGCGGCTCCTCTTTTATGGAAAAGCCTCCCGATGAACATTGAAGGTTCTTTCATTACTGAATTTTAAAACACGGCTCAAAACTTACTTTTATTTAACACTGGCAGGGCTTAGTTGTTGTGACCTCTTATTGTCTTATTTTATATTTTTATGCTGTATTTTATTCTTTTATTGTTTGTTATTTTAAGCTTCATGTGTAGCACTTTGTTTTCAGCTGTAGCCGTTTTAAAGCAAATAAAGTTGATGATGATGTAGATCAGTATGTGTGTTCATTTGAAATCTGAAATGTTATTACTTTTAACTGAAAGCAAATCTTCTCAGTGATACCTGACAATGGAGTAAAGGTGGTCAATTGTTTCCTATGTACTTTTAAAAAATTAAAATCTTACTAAAATTTAAATCTCTTCAGAATTTCAGCATTAGGTTATATTTTAATATACTTTAAATTTATTTTCTTAAACTAGAGAAA